ACTGTACTTCGAGATGTTGTGGTGGGATCCACTACAGCTTTATAAGACAAATGTGGTGGGAATTCCCGCATTTAAAAAAGAAACATTTGAATGCAACATGAAGGGATTAAAAAACAACACAGACCGATCCACAAAACAAAACAAAAAAAACAACTGATGAAAGAAGATGGAAGCAGTTTGCAATCTGAAGTTGTTGAACTCAATATTGAGTCCAGAAGGCTGTAGAACGCAGAGATGAAAGTGAAGATGAAATAAGGTTGAGAGATAAACGATGGCTATATACTGCAGATGCTGGAAATCTGAAAAAGCAACTGAATTCAATTCTGAAGAAGATTCATACTGGACTCAAAACATTTAAGCGTGTTTCGCTCTGCAGACATAGCCAGACCTGCTGAGTCTCTGCCGCTTTCTCTGCGTTTGTCTGGGAAAGATAAATGAATCTGGACTTTCTGAAACAGATTCCTGGTGTCAGCCGGTCAGTCAGGCTGAAGTGGGCTTTGAGTGAGGGGTAAATGATGCCCCAGAATTGGAACAGAATCTGAGAGCAGAGTGCTGCCACACTGGGCTATTCGTAAAGCCATAGAATCAATGTGGAAGCCAGCCATTCAGCCCATCAAGTTCACACCTACCCTCTGAAGAAAATCCTACCCAGACCACCTCCCTCCTACCCTAACCCTGTAACCCTGCATTTCCTATGGCTAATCCGCCTAACCTCCTCATCCCTGGACACTACGGACAATTTAGCATGGCCAATGCACCTAACCTGTTAATCTTTGGACTGTGGGAGGAAACTGGAGCACCCAGAGGAAACCCACGCAGACACGGGGAGAATATGCAAACTCCGCATAGACAGTTGCCCGAGGGTTGGACCTATTAAGAGCTGTCCCTCTGAAGCTGGTGTTGAGGTGGAGCGTAGGGACTTGCTGGAGGGAATTCACTCTCTGCCCAGCTATACCCTACCAAATCCTGGCCTATTTTGGTGCTGGCAACGGGTACCTGAGCTGGGAGCTGTCCCAAACGCCCAGCACCAAACCCCTTGCAACGATAAACGTGAAATTCTTGAAGCAAAACGATTAGATCCCGCTGTACCTCAGGTGCAATTTTTGTGTTGCAACGTGATGGAACGAGAGATCCCAATCTCAGACGTTCATCAAGGTACTGAGCTCCTTGAACCTGGGCTCGGTGTAGCTGCTGAGACAGGTGGATAGTGTTAAAGACAAGATGTGAGGTTGTGGTGAAGGGGCTGGTGGAGAGAGTGAGGAGTGACCTCGAGATCATAACAGTGAGGTCGCGTTAGGGGAGGAGCAGGTGGAAGTTTAAAACCCAACTAAAAATTACAACTGATCTCACTGAATCACAACCTCCTCTGCTGACCAGGCCACTCACACATAGTCACTGAAACTCACCCTGGAGATTCCCAGGAACAATCTTTTGCAGGCTCTCCCAGAATTATCAGACAAAACAAGGGTGTCCTGTCAGGTCCAGATGTTCAAAGTGAGGGGCAATTCTTCGAAATACGAGCCAATTGAGACAGAAGCAGAAACAGTGTTTCCACCAGAGGGCAGTATGATACATCTGACTCCTGACACCCACTAGATTCCGGCAGTATCCCCATTGACTGAAGTGAACAGGCTGTTGGGGAATACTATATAATAGACCGGAAAAATGTTAGCCCCAGAATAGCTTCATCCTCAGCCAAGATAGATATGTTCAGATGTGCTCTGATATGCTTCGGGCAAAGGATGTCTGTCGCAGCTTAATTAAACAGCATATCAGGTCGTATCATAGCCCCTCAAGACTGCATTGAAATGCAGGCACAAGGTTTTCAACTCCCACTGCAGTGATTTTTTGTCAGGAATTCCAGTTCCCTGTTGATAGTCTAGGGAGCGTATGAATCAGGACCAGGCGTAGGCCTTTCTGCCCATCAAACCTACTTCACCGTTCAGCAGTAGCGTAGCTGGAGGCTGAGGGGTGACCTTATGGAGGTTTATAAAATCATGAGGGGCATGGATAGGTTGAATAGTCGAGGTCTTTTTCCCCCAGGATAGGGGATTCCAAAACCAAATGATGTAGGTTTAAGATGTGGAGGGAAAGATTTAAAAGGGGCCTATGGGACAACTTTTTCACACAGAGGGTGGTGCGTGTTTGGAATGAGATGCCAGAGGAAGTGGTGAAGGCTGGTACAATTACAGCATTTAAATGGCATCTGGATGGGTATATGAATAGGGAGGGTTTAGAGGGATATGGGCCAAATGCTGGCAAATGGGACAAGCTTAATTTTGGATATCTGGTCAGCATGGACGAGTTGGACTGAAGGATTTGTTTCCATGCTGAACAACTTTATGACTGTAATTAAAAAATAATTCTCTCTGTCTGATATAGGGGTGGCACGATGGCTCTGTGGTTAGCACTGCTGCCTCACAGCGCCAGGGACCCAGGTTCAATTCCACCCTTGGGTGACTGTGTGACGTTTGCACATTCTCCCCGTGTCTGTGTGGGTTTCCTCCGGGTGCTCTGGTTTCCTCCCACAGGCCAAAGATGTGCAGGTTAGGGTGGATTGGCCATGCTAAATTGCCCATAGTGTTCAGGGATGTGTCTGGATGGGATGCTCAGAGGGTCAGTGTGGACATGTTGGGCTGAAGGGCCTGTTTCCACACTGTAGGGAATCTATGATTCATTTGTCAGCTATTCTATCTTCAGAAAGCTTCCTTGGGGTGAAACATCAGTATGATATGGAGTCATGCTGTGTTACATCTCATACGGTAATTTTATTGGGCAAAAATGATGGACAAGAATCTGATTGGAGACCTACTGAGCCTTGGTGTTGTGACTAGATTGCTATGGTAGAGTTCCTAAACGTAAAGCTGGCTTTGTGAGATTCTCCTGCAGAGTCTATGAATTCAACATCCTTGCCAGATTATTTGCATTGCCAAATTTTCTTCCCTAGGTATTGTCTTTTACACTTGGCTGCACTAAATTTTGTCAAATGTTATAATGCACTTACATATTTTACCAAATAACGACTTCAAAATCTAATGTTGCCCCACCACTGCCCGCTATCTGTAGACTGCACCAATCTTCCTTGAGCTTCCTGCTCAATCGTGGAGGTTAGATTTGGTTATGGCCTTAAACCTCATTCCTAGGACCTCTGCGCTTTTCACTCACTCCTCTCTTTCAGCACTGAGATTGGATTGGCACAGAGTGGAAAAGGGAAGCTTCACTTCACGTATATGGAAGCACCAGGTTTAGTTTATCCTTTCATGGGAGGTAGGCATCACTGTGTTCTTGAACTGAGTGCCTTCCCAGTCCATTTTCATGAGTGGTTGTGTGGTGAGTTATGGGGTGGGTCTGGAGTCACAGGTAGATAGCTTCCCCTTATGACAAAATGATGGTGCAGGGGTAATGTCACTGGGGAAGTAATCAAGAGTCAATACAGCATGGAGCTGGAGGAACATGGCAGGTCAAGCAGCATCAGAGAAGCAGGAGAGTCAACGTTTTGGGCCTGGACTGCAGGCCTGATGAAGGTATTGACTCTGACTCCAGCATCTGCAATTCTTACCCTCTCCAAGTAATCAAGAGACCCAGGGTCTAGGGACAGGCCAGATCCCACTATGGCAGCTGCAGGAATTTAAATCGAATTAAAGGCATGTGGAGGTGAAACCCAGTCTCAGTAATAGGAACAGGAGCAGGCCTCAAGCCTGTTACACCATTCAGTGAGATTGTGGCTGTTCTCTGGCTTAAATCTATAAACCTGCCTTTGACCTATATCCCTTTAATACCTTTACTTAAGAAAAAAAAACTATCCATCTCAGATTTAAAATTAACAACTGATACAGCATCGAGCATCGACTGTTGTTTGTGGAAGACAGGTCCAAACCTCCACCACCCTTTGTGTGTAGAAGTGCCTCCTAACGTCTCTCCTGCCCTGATTCTCAGACTATGTCCCTTAGTCTAGAATCCCCACGAGAAAATCCTCTAGAAAACTAGTGGAAATAGTTTATCTGTATCTACCTTGTCTGTCTTTGTTTAGGACACGCCAACTCTTCACCCCAAATAATCATCCAAAAATGCTGCAGAAACTCAGCAGGTCTGGCAGCCCTGAAGAAGAGTTGTACTGGCCTCAAGACGTTAACTCTGTTTCTGTCTGCACAGATGCTAGCCAGACCTGCTGAGTTCCTGCAGTACTCTCTGCTTTTATTTCCGATTTCCAGCATCCGCAGTACTTTGCTTTTCCTTCATCATAGCATGTGAGATCCCAGACAGTAGGAGCCTAATTTCAGAGCTGTCCAGTTGAGGTAGGCCTGTGGATTTTCAGGGACAGCATTTTTTAATACCTGCTGTGTTGACGCTATGGTCAAGAAAGCACAACAACACCTCTACTTCCTCTGCAGGCTAAGGAAATTCAGCATGTCCGTAAAAACTCTTACCAATTTTTATAGATGCACCATTGAAAGCATCCAGTCTGGGTGCATAATGGTCTGGTATGGCAACTGCTCTGCCCAGGACCGTAAGAAACTACAGAGAGTTGTGAACACAGCCCAGTTCATCGCACAAACCAGCCTTCCATCCTTTGACTCCATCTATACTTCTCGCTGCCTCAGAAAGGCAGCCAATATCATCAAAGACCCCTCCCACCCCGGTTATAATCTCTTCCAACCTCTTACAGCAGGCAGAAGATACAGAAGCTTAACCACATGTACCAACAGATTCAAGAACAGCTTCTTCCCCGCTGTTATTAGACTGCTGAATGGTCCTCTCGAATTTTAAATTTATTGGTGATTTTGTTCTTTGTGCACCTTCTCAGCAGCTCTATCATTGTATTCTTCGTTCTGTTCTATTACCCTAATGCACTTTGTGTGGTATGATCTGCCTGCACTGCACACAAAACAAAACTTTTCATTGTACCTAGGTACGTGTGACAGTAATAAACCAAATCTAATCAAAAGTGTTATGGCAGAACAGCAGGACTTTCCTGTTGATTTTCTATTCTTTCTCCTCAGAGCTGGCTGGGCAGGAGATGCAGCGGGCCTGTGACAAGGGCATGAGAGAAGGGGACTGGCTGGATGTACAGGTGAGCAATAGCTTTTCCTGTGGCGATTCACAGGCTACTTCATTGGACAGTCAGCACCCCACCCCAACACTGCCTCAGCCCCTCCCCTCCAGGGAAGGATATAGTTAGCCACAGAGTGGGAGTTCAGGCCATTCCTATAGCACAGTCTCGCCCCTTGTGGGGCAACTGCCAGGATGAAACCGAGGCGGAACGATAAAAAGCAGAAAGAGAATTTGCATTTATATAGCTCCTTTCCTGAGCTGAGCGACCTCCCAAAATTCTTTAATCCAATGCTGTGCTCTGTGAAGGATGGTCGTTGGTGCCTTGTGGGAGATGCAGCAGCCAAATAGTAAAAAGTGATTTGTGTAATCAGCAATACATACCCACTGGATAATCCATTTCTCTGACAATTGCTGGATGAATATTGGATAAGGCATCGAGAATAATACTCTTGGCTGTTCTTTGATATGCTTCCAGGGAAGGATCTGTTATGCCCACCTGAGAGGGCATTTAGGGCCCTCTGCTTAAAGCCCAGTCTGAAAAACTGCACCTCCAACAGCGCCACACTCCCTCAATGCACTGTAGTGCCAGCCTTAATCTTGGGCTCAAGACCCTGGGGTGGGATGGGAATCTTAAAACCTTCTGACTCAGAGCCAAAGGTATGGTGTGGCCTGGAAGGAGACGTGGGGTGAGGGTTTAAGGTGGAACCAGCCACGTTGCACTGGCTGGAGCTGAGATTGCATTGACAGTTCCACATAGTCATGGGCAAACAAGTATGCTCCATGAAAGTGAGTGGGCTCTGAACATTTGGCTCAGTCTGTCTCTGGTCATTCCTTCAGTTCCTGGGCCCTCCTCATGCCTGTCTACCTTTCTTCCCCTTTTAAGACAACCCTCAAAGACTTGTCTCTTTGACCAAGCCTTTGGTCATCAGACCTAATGTGCGGCTTAGCATCATGTTTGTTTTGTAATGTGCCTGTGAGGTTTAACTGCGTTAGAGTTGTTAAATAAATACAAGTTGCTATTGTTGTTGTTGGCGTAGCCACAACTTCCTGGCAGACTTAAATCTCTTTCTGTTTTATCCTTCGAAACAGCATCAGTCAAAAGTAATCCCCATTGTGAAAGCCTTGGAGAATCTAACAAACAGAAAAGCTCACTTGGCATACAGTGCAAGAGTAAATAGAGAAGAGACAGAAAAATAAAGGATTTGTCAAGAGCCCCATACTGTTGCTACAAACCATATCGCAGGATACATTCAAAATAAACATCTCCTAAGCTATGATTTTGCACGCCCGTTTAGTGTGGTGTCTAAGTAGTGTATCAGAGGGAATGCCAGAAAATTGCAACAATGCCTATATGTGGTAATTGAATGCTAATCTCCATATAACTAAAAAGAAACTGACAGGTAAGCAGTTGAGTGTTAGCACAAAGGAAGGACAGAAAACTGAACAGGGAGCTGAATAGACTTAAATCCAGGTTTACAAATTTGTTACCTCAACTTTACGTCATTAGCTAGTGCACCATTTACTATTAGATGTTCCTGACTTCATCTTCCCATCATTGCCACATCTGCCCACTTCCAGGTCTGTAGCATTACCTAACTCAGTCCCAGCCTCCAGTCAACAATTGCTGAAACCCACCTGCATTGCACTGTTTCAGGGGCTTGGTTGGCTCAGCTGGCTGGACAGTTGGTTTGTAATGTGGGGTAATACCAACAATGTGGGTTCAATCCCTGCTACCAGCTGAGGTCACCAGGAAGGTCCCAAATTCTCAACCTCACTTGAAGTGTGGTGACCTGCATCACCAATTGTCTCTCTTTGGGAAAATGGAATTATTACCCTTACTTCTAGATTTACCTATTCCAATGCTTTCCTGACTGGCCAGCCATTTTTCACGGTCCACAAACTTGAGTGCACGTTCTAACTGAAACCCAAGTCCGCTTCACTTACCCCCTTGTGCTCACTGACTTACCTTGACTCTGGATCTGACAACATTCTCATCTGGGCTTTCACATTCCTCCCTACCTCTGTGACTTCCTCTCGCTTTCTGATCCTCTGAGATATCTGCGATCCTCCCCTGGTCTCTTGCAAATTCCCAATTTTAGTCAGTCCACCGTTAATGGCTGTACCTTCAGTTGCCTGACACCCCTAAGCTCAGGAATTCCCTCACTACACCTCTCTGCCTCATTTTAAGACAGTCCTTGAGGCCAATCCTTCTTCACCAAGCTTTCAATCATCTGACCTCATATCTTCTTATGTGGCTCTGTGACATACTTAGTTTGAATACACTTGTGCAAAGTGAGCTAGGAAGTTTCTCGACATTAAGGTGGGTGCTATATGAATGCACATTTCTGGGTGTCTGAAATTATTATTCAAACGTGAAATAGAGCTAAGTTATAGAACCTGACACCTTATGAAGCTAACATCTGCTCCACGTGGGCTATTAGCTTCTCAACCCAGGTGGGTGTGTATATGGTCTTGATTCTTAATTGTGCTTTCACTATGCAGTGCATGCAATGTTGGTACAAGACAGGGTATTTATCAACGGCATAGCTTAAAAAGTAAGCTTGAATATTGCAGTCGCTTTTGTTGATAATTTGGAAGAAAACGTCAGGCACTCAGCACTTTTGTGGTAAAATTATTAGCAGGCATTTTGGGGGCAAATATCTCTTTATTAAATATTGATCGTGAGTTTACAATGTTGCAACAACACCTACTAAGGGCTAGATGGTGGTGTTAGTGATAGTTCTTCATCTGGTTACTGTGAGGGGTCCTCAGGTTTTTCAGTGGGGATACCCTTGATGCCAGCGCTCACCAGTCTTACTTTCTATCCAAGATCAGCTTGTGGCCATCACTGGCCGTGCTCAGCATTTGTTATCTTTTCCCAATTGTGCTTGAGAAGGTGATGGTCAGCCGCCTTCATGGACCCCTGTACGGCCTGCGATGGACACACATAGAGTGCTGTTAGGGATTTGTAGTATTGCAACAGTGAAGGATAAAAGCTACCTTTTTGACCAAGCTTTTCGTCACCTAACCTCATATCTCTAATTTGGCCTCATGCCATACTTCTGTTTGATAGCACTCTTCTAAAAATTTTTAAAAATTAATTTGTGGGATGTGGGCATCGCTGGCTGGCCAGCATTTATTGCCCGTCCCTAGTTGCTCTTGAGAAGGTGATGGTGAGCTGCCTTCTTGAACCACTGCAGGCCACCTACTGTGGGTTGACCCACAAGGTTATTGGGGAGGGAATTCCAGGATTTTGACCCAGCGACACTGAAGGAACAGCGATATATTTCCAAGTCAGGGTAGTGAGTGACTTGGATGGGAACTTGGAGGTGGTGGTGTTCCCATATTTCTGCTACCCTTGTCCTTGTAGATGGAAGTGGTCATGGGTTTGGAAGGTGCTATCTGAGGATCTTTGGTGAATTTCTGCAGTGCATCTTGTAGATATTACACACTGCTGCTACTGAGCATCGATGGTGGAGGGAGTGAATGTTTGTGGATGTAGTGCCAATCAAGCGGGCTGCTTTGTCCTGGATGGTGTCAAGCTTCTTGAGTGTTGTTGGAGCTGCACTAAACCAGGCAGGTGGGAGTATTCCATCACACTCCTGACTTGTGGCTTGTAGAGGATGGACAGGCTTTGGGGAATCAGGAGGTGAGTTCATCATAGTATTCCTAGCTTCTGACCTGCTCTTGTAGCCAATGTGTTAATGTGGCGAGTCCAGTTGAGTTTCTTGTCAATGATAACCCCCAGGATGTTGATAGTCAGTGATGGTAATACCACTGAATATTAAGGACTGGTTGTCTCTTATTGGTAAGGTTAGCCCAGCTGACATTGGGTAGGAATCTGCATTGAGTTATTAAACTAAGTCTCAGGGGACTGGGGAAAGGGGCACATTCGATAGTTCACTGCCAACATTGGCTCCCTCACCCACCCTGTACCCTCACTCCCATTCCGGAGTTAATCTTGCCCCTGCAGAATCAGGAATCTGGAGTGAGAGCTTCCTGGTGAGGAAGTATAAATACTGAAGCGGGAATACTTCACCCTGGGTGAGTTTTCCCACAAAGGCAGGAACTTTCAAGATTTCAATGCTGCAGGGTACTTCTGACATCTCTGGGCTGGAGAGAATGCTTGCTGTTGGATTGAAAATCCTTCTGTCACCTCTGACCTTATAGCCTATCGTGTCTCTTTATGCCACCCATGTTCATCCCGTGTTCTAGGTGCAGTACCTTGCACTCACATCCTGCTCTGTAAGAATTAGTGCTTCCTAACGTGGGAGTCCCAACCCACAAGCCTGGCCATGACTTCTGAACCAGCACTGACTGCCGTGGAGCCATGACTGAGTTATAACAGCTGTACCCGCACTCCCCAACCAGGCCCCTGCTTTCAGAGGCTCCCCCTCCCAACCCCCCACCTACCCTGCACTCACATGCTCATTGAGGGAGGGCAGGGTTGCAATGCCGTGGGGTCACAGTGGGCAGGGGGAGCACAACGTTTGGGAAACGTTTGAAATCAGGCCCCATTTTGTCTTCCTGCCTCAATCTGCGGACTTTTAAAATCCAAATTTGTACTCATTCAGACTCCTGGGGAGCATTAACAACCCAATCAGCTGTGACCTTATCGAAGGGCAGAGCAGGATTGAAGGGCCAAATACCCTACGTCTGCTCCCAAGTCCTACGTTCTTAATCTGACTGTAAAACCTGAGGGTATTGGGTGCAGTGCTGGTTTTTACATCCTAACAAAGTTCTTGTGAAGTTTTTGTCGTTTTTGTCTGCACTCTGCACTGCATGGACCCTTTAAGGTGGCCATGCACTGCCCAAACATGAGTCTTTAAGGGGCCATGAGCTGTTTGCAACCAGTTCAGTGTGGAATGTTCCGGATTGCTGCCCTGCTTCATGCCCCATGTCCTACTCTTCATTGACGTCGTGTAAGAGTAATGTCGAGCTGGGCATAAAACTTATGTCCCACCAAAAACCCTGAGTTTCTGCACAGGCAAGACAGGTTTGCCACATGGTTTAGCTCAT